TGGAGCGCAAACATCGCTGCCCACTAGGGATTGTCATGAATCGTCTTGTGCGGTTTAACCGTAAGATGAGGTTGTTGCTCTTGGGTAAAAACAGCGTCATTGCACCGGTTGAGAGTGCCGCTCGGATTCGCTGTAGGTACCGCCACTGTGTCACTAAAACGTAAACAAAGTTTATCTCCTTACGGCGCGCTATCCGGATGAAAGTGCCAGCGTGGGTCTCAATAAGTGGTTTAGAAATTTGAATCGAAGAGGTCTCATCTCTTAAAACAGCAGCAAGCCCGGCGATGCAATCTTGTCATGACTGCAAATGTGCGTTTGCTGTGCCGCCCGAATTCTACTCGTGGACATGTAGACTTGCAACTGCTGGAGAGGTGGAAAAATTCCAGACGCTGACCTAAATCCTGCATGGAAATCGGCAGACTCTAATTTTAAGCACCAAATGTCGGTTCTCGCCACCAACAATACGGCACAGCTCTAGCTGAATGTGCGATGTTGCAGCAGTGGCATGGAAGGAGACTGGTGAGCTAAATGATCGATCACCCGATACAATGATGCACTCTGTTTTCATCGTCATGTGTGCATCAGTAAAGAGTAAGCAGATCGAGTCCATTGGACTTGTTTGTCGTTTCGGTCGAGGACAGAGCTCTACAGTCACGGGCAATCGTCGGGATTTTTAGGACTAGGTTGACGTGTGACACCGTCATGGACGACGAAGCTATGGAAGATCCAGATGCTAAGGATGACGACGGCGAAGATGCTATGGAGGACTGACTGACTATTTTGACACGTCTCTGCACGGGTGAGGACGCGCTCAAGTCATGCGCTACAGTAAACTGTTTCTATAGTCACAACCTGGTGGGTGGATGGATCGGTAAGGAGGACGGATCGTAGCATTGGGATGCACGCTCTATAAGTCACAAAATACGGATCTACGACCTCCGCGTCCATGGATTCTCTCACTGCAGCGCGCATTTTTGCAGCGACGAGGTCACGAGAGTCCGTGTTTTTACACTTCAACCGCGACGTGTGATTGACTTCGCTCTTCTCTATTATGAGATTCGAAGAGACAAACGCAGCCACCATCGTCGGACGGCCAGGCAAGCAGCTGCGTACTTGCCGTACTCTGGAGCTGGCGCTCTGCTTTATCGCTTTACAGTATTACCAACTAATGTACTCTTTCTCTGTATTGTTGTAGAGCGAGCTGCATTCTGTTGCGCGCAGGTGAAAAGACCGCGTAGAACAACGACGGGCACGAGTCAGGTGGTTAGCATCAGCTTGGCATATAGAATAACTGTTCACGAGCTGTTCATGGAGTGTCTCGGTGACGCCGACGCCGCATCCTGACACCTCGAAGTTTGCGCGGATTTTCCAAAGGGTGCCCGTTGTGATCGTTCCATGGCAAGTCGCGATGGAAGTCATGCTATGAGTGCCGAAGGGTGGTGCTTGTCCAAATGGTCTCACGAGCTCCATGACACGAGGCGATAAGAGGATAATAGACTAGAGTATTTGGGTATCTCTGTCCGACCTTGTGGTGTAGCAACTCAGCTTTTTCGCCCCGGAAGATGCAGTAGGGTTACTGTGGCGTAAGGACTAACAGTTATTGGGTTCGGGATTCCAGGTACTGCAGATCAATAATTGCTCAGGAAAGCTAAGACGACGTCAAAGATACCATTCTGTTGCCGAGTACGCTGCTCGACAGCAGCCGTTCGTGCATTACTTGCTGCTCGTATCGCCAAGTTGTAGTTCTGACACATCTATCGAAGAGCTTCGACTGTGGCACCGGACGAGATGGCTAATTGTTCGGATTCGACGTTAATTTCGCTAGCTGGCGCGAGTTTTATAAAGCTGTGCGCACAAAACGACGACTGCGCTAGATGTATGTCTTGTGCACACACATATTTGCCTTTTGTTCTCACGAAGAGTTGCAGCTGCCGCTACTCCATGCGTGATGAAACTCTCGTATGAATAGGCGTGAGAGAACTACAGTTATCCAGTATCTCACTGACAGCGCAAGATAAAATCAATGACACACGGCAACGAAGCTGCCACAATCACTACACGAGTAATTCGCCGCTAGTACATTGCCATTGTGTCGTGCGTTCATTTACTGCGTCGCTGTCTTGTACTGGTCTTTTTTCCGATATCATCGGGAAAGGTAATACTTATAAAGCTGGCATGATATAACGCATAATGTTGCACCCCTTTCCTTTTGCTTGGCTCTGGTATCCTGCAGTCAAAACTGTTCGATTTGTTGGACGTCACATGCTCTCCAGGCGGTAGCCGTTTCTCTACTGACGGCTTTGCAAAAGTTTTGAAAATTTCTGACGATGTCGCTACCATAGTGCTGACACTACTCCATAAATCATGAGCGTCCTGAGCGGCATCGCAACAAGCACGACGGACACTGTTCCGGCCATTTGCAAGCAGTGCTGCTATACACAATGGAATGAACGGGTCAAAGATGCGCTCTAACCCTTACTTATACGGGCTCATTTTGGTCATAGATGCAGAGGTTTAGGAAAGTGTATTTGCGTGTGATGAAAGATACAACGAGGGCTTCTGGGTCCACACACATGCAAAACTAGCCGACCGATCGAAAGAATATTTCGGGACTGGATCCCTCGATAAGCGCATGAAGCGCGGGGGAATGAAATCTCGCATCTGCTGGACGGGCGAAGTCGCACACCTTCCGTTTGTGCTTCGAGCGAAAGCGCCGTATCGACTGTCGAGACGTGTTTGCTAACACAGAAGGAATTACACTGGTCGACAGATTCAAAAGGGCCAAGCTATTTTGCTTCACCGACCTGCTGTGACTTGAGGAAAATTTGAGTCTGTCCTTGAACTACGTTTACGTGCTGCAATTGGTCCAGGTTCAATTATTGCGTGAAGTCGCTCGCTTTCTCATGCGTGGCGACCAGAAAAGCACACGATCTTTTGTGAAAGATGGGCGAGGCTATGTCGTACTATAATTTTGCAGTTCCGTACTGCAAACGCCGTAAACGTTTTTACGAGCAGCTAATTAGCTTAATGGTCAAATTTATCTGTATTATGCTTTATATAGAAGGTCAGAGGTGCGGAGATGAAAGAGCTCCATTGACTGAATTTAGTTCCCTGAATGTCACCCTTTTCACTAGCTTTATGTGACTCGTGTAGTGTAGCTGACCACGCCACATTTATTTGTTATCATCCTTTGGTTCAAATTGCCGACAAACGGTAGAGGCAGTGCGCGAGCTGACCTGGAGCAAAGTGTACATATATTGTACATGGCGACATTCCCGTTTACACTGGAACTACCGACCAGCAGATACAAGTGTCTGCTGGCGACTCCAGCTAAATAGCCAGCCCCAAAGTGGAGACACCCATGACGAATGAAATCATGACAAGACTGTGAGAAGGTTTATGATTGAGGGGAATAGCTTGATCCAATAACGACCACCCCACTGGCAACAAATTGCAAATTGACTTTAAATTTAGCGTTTGTACAACCCATTTCATAGGAAAAGATTTTAACACGTTCAAAGAAACTCGTGTCGCATTGGAGAGATGGACAGCTTCACACGGATTCGCCACTGGACAGCAAGTAGCCGAGCAGCTGGTCCAGGATCGTCTGCATGAGCTCGGAGAGGGAGATGTTGAGCCAGTAGAGCACAGCCATGCTGAAGGACCAGATGCCGAAGAGAGGGAAGAAGACAATGGTGAAGAGGAGACTGCTGCCAAAGACGTAGGGGATCTCGACAAACTTGATGCCGAGGAAGTACCCGAGAATGCTGTACGTCTGCGCGGCGCACTCGCGGTAGTAGACGGCTCGTTCTCGCAGAATGAAGGGCAGACAAACAACGTACGTCACGTATTCTTAATACAGTGTCATCATGAAAATGATACCCCCGGCTAAGTTCAGCTCTCGGTACGTTGTGTAGTCGGCGTGAGGCCGAAGATGATGGTCAGGATAAGCGCGAGCCAACACCGAGTCAAGTTTTACGATGGTGTTCGCCAGTACGTTGACTGGAATCGCTGCATGATCAATTAGAGTGCATCAGGGAAGTAGCAGCTTGCTTGTGCTGGAACACTAGCTTCGGTAGACTATCAGGTGCAGTTGTCGCCACGCCAGGTTTAACTAGACGAGGCAGCAACACTTGGTGCTCCAGAGATAGATTTGGACATTGGTGATCTTCCAGTTGGAGATGTTCAACCCGTTCCTAAGGCTCAGCATTAAATCCAGTCAATGGAAGCTCTTTCATCTCCGCATCTCTGACCTTCTATACATAGCATAACAGAGATAAAATGAGACTTTTAAGCTAATCAGCTGTTCGTAAAATGTCTCACGGTGTTTGCAGTACGGAGTGGCACATCTTCAAATTACGGAATGCCTTGCCCGTGAAAGATACGGCATTCGTTGCGATAAAGAAAAGTCGCTCATGCTCATCGGGCGACGTCAGCCTGGTCACAGTCTCTTTGGCGATACAGATGTCCTTTTCGCGATTCGGATGCTACATAGTTGTCGACGTAGAAAAAGGCGGCCAGCGTACCAAGAATGACGTCTGCGTTAATCGAACTCTTCCTTGTGCTACAGATGAACGCGACCCCTTCATCGAGAAGGAAGGCGGCCAGCCCATATCGAATCTTAGAATCAGTTTCCAACTGATCCGAAAAGCAAAGCACTCGCGCACGTGACTCCTACCTTCCTACTCGGGGGTCATGGTGGTGCAAATAAAAGCACGTGTCGCGTGCAGACTTCGGATTGCAGACTAGGAGACGTGTGCGCTGCATTCTTAAGATAGTGCATCGTGTCATTTCCACATTCTCCCTCCGACTGTTAGTGCTCTAATTCGTCTGTCGTGCAATGCGTTTCTCCAACGCAGTTCTGCTATCTACAGCCATCGTCTTGGCGTCGGAGTTGGAGTCGCTGCAAGCCCGTGCACTCGGCAATGACGAGGCGGATTTCTTTGTCGGTCGCTTTCTCCGGTCCGACACGACATCGCGCGGTCGTATCGAAGAAAGAGGTGCTTTTAAGATGCCATCTTGCCTGGGGTGCCTTCCCGGTACGTGGTCTCCGGCGAAACTGCTAGCCGCTGGGGCAGCTGAGAAGGCTGAGGCAAACACCGCTAAGCTGGCTGAGGCGAACGCTCCTAAGCTGGCTGAGGCGAACGCTGCTAAGCTGGCTGACGAGGACGATGCTAAGGGCGTTCAGGCCAAACAAGTTACTGATCAAGCACTTGACGACCTTGTAGATCTGATTGATGGAATGTCTGATGCACAACAAGGTGTTGACTTCTTCATTCGCAGCAAGGAGTACGATCTGTTCCGTGACACTGTCCGGGAGGTTAACGGCAAATTACCCAAAGGAATAATGATTACTCCAGGACGAGTCCTCGTACGCCACTTCGGCTACGAAAAGGTACGCGGCGCTATCCTAAGAGCCATGTGGAGTTCAGCTAAGCAGATAAAGTTTCGCGGTAATGTTCTTGCGACACATTATAACACGGAGGCGGAGAATGGCAGGGCGATCTAAAAAAATCGTAACCACTTAGTACGTAGCAAGTAGAAAGAAATGAGGAAACAGAATTGGATTGAATAATGAATAAGAAAGAGTTTATTTAATTTTTAGATGATTTGTGGTTGGTACGCTTGACCGGATGTCAGGTCCTTAAATTGCATTAGCATGGATAACACTTTCCTATTAATGGGGTTTTCTAGATTCACTCCTTGTTCGAATTGAATTCACTTGTTTTGCTTTCTTAAAGTAAACACTTGTAGCAAATATTAGTAGCTGGTTGATATTTTTTAAATAAGTATACGTGTTTAGTCAAGCCGAGCTATTGTTACGACTGAATATTTTGCCCAGTGGCCTAGCGGCCCCACTAATTATTATCTATTCAAGACTAGGCGATGCCATGGATGGAATAGATGGCGGCACGGCAGGAGTATCTTGCGTACATTATTGGCCTGAATTGTGACTATATCGATAAAACGTGTAGCCTAGTGATTGTAACGGGGTATCGATCGCTTGTACTGTGACAGCACAAGCTACTACTCTGAACGTAGGGTAAGCAGGTGCCTCGAAATCTCAAGTAATTGTTATGTGCAGTGGAATATTGAGGGTGAAAGTTGAACTTTATGTAGTGTGGTCAATCTACTGCTGATAATCCTAATTAGTCTTCCTTTATTGGATGCCTGAATGCAAGTGTGCATTGTAATTTTCTGCTCACCACTCATTGCGTTCTTCTGCCGTATTTCGGCTTTGTTTAGTTGTTGTCACCCTCTATCGACCAATGAACAGTGTCTTACTTCTGCATCACAACGTTACCTACAAAGAAAACATTGTACGAATATGATATATTTTTAACATGATATTCATACTTGACATTTACCGCATGAAAAATACCATGTAACGGACTCACCCCGTTGCTAGGTCATCTCTGTTTCATCACGAGTAAAGTGAGAAAGTCGTCGTGTTCATTCCGTATTTTTATTGCTACGCTGTGCTTTCGTAGTCGTTTTTTTCATTGCAGCTCAGCGGCGTGCAAAGAAGCGCGCTCACTCTACGCCCATTTGTAAAAGAAATCAATCTACTATTTCGATGTTTGTAATTTTAATAATTTTCAAAGTAGCTCCGCCGTAGGTCCAATCGTATAGAAGCACAGTAAGGAATTTTTATTTATTTTGATAAAAATTCCATACTGTGCTTCTATACGATTGAACCTACAGCGGAGCTACTTTGACTCCTTTGTCAGAAGAGGACTTATGGACTCATTTAGCAACTGAGTATATAAAATTAAACGGGTATCTAAATTTAAAGAGTATCAAGTCTTTAGAGACTAGATGAGGCTCAAATCATAGTATCCAAACAAGCTCCTATGCTTCTAGTTCTCTTTCAAGAGACAACGTTCGGAATTATTGGTAACGGTGTTGGTTACTGATACTAATGACCATATGTCATGGACGACACTGTGTGATAGTGTGTAACGATGGGATCGACTCATCGTTTTGTTACTAATATTATAGAGTCGATATCGATAGGCTTAGAGTAGTACAACGAGACGAACTAAGGACCTAGCTAGATGATAATTCACTTTCCATTTTACCTTCTTCTAAGCTCTCCCACCTCAACTCGCTCTTGGCTGTTGCCAAAAGTCAAAAGGTTATGAGCCCAACTACGCCGGATGCGGGCGACATACTCCGCGAAGATAACTACTTCGTGTGGGAGTTCAACGCAAGGATGAGGCTGGCAAAGAAGGGATTGCTAGAGCACCTAGACGCTATGAAGGCCCCAGAAGAAGGAGACGCAAGCGCGTCAACTTGGAAAGTCAACGACATGAAGGCCTTCGCGATTGTGTCCACAATGATCAGCACAAATCTTCAGTCAATGGTGCGCACGGCAGAGACAACGGCAAAAGCATGGGACATACTGAAGACTTTCTTCCTGCGGCAAAGTATGCACAATCGTGTGCAGTTGCGGCGGCAACTACATGAGTTCAAGTTGGCCAAGGGAGGAAGCATCATGGATCACTTCCTGAGATTTGACGAGCTGTGCATGACTATGCAAGCTGTGGGACAAGAGATCTCACAGGATGAGCATTTTGTCATCCTATTGGGTAGTCTAACGAGAGACTATGACCCTATCGTCAAGATAATTGAGAACATGCCCGGAATGACACTGTTTCACGCTAAGGAAATGCTGAGACGGGAGTACGATGGAATGGCGAGGACAGAACACCAAGAAATCGCACTGAAAAGTACGCACACTTCCAAGTACAAGAAAGGTCCGCGCAGACATATGGGGAGATCAAGTTCAAGAGGTGAAAAGTTTTCGGGAAGGTGTTACCGATGTAACAAATATGGGCACAAGCGTCAAGATTGCAAGGCTGAACAAGTGGAGACAGAGCGATCTGGAGAAGAGAGAGCATTTACTGCGTCAAGTCGGACGTCAGCTGGATGGTTATTGGACAGTGGGGCAAGCAGCCACATGTGTCCCGACAGAAATGAGTTTTCGAATTTAAACTCACTGACGGACCCGATCATGATCACCATAGCAGACGGCAGCGAAGTGGAAGCGCAAGGTGTTGGGACAGTGCGCGTGCAACTCAAGACTGGTGAAGTGATCAGGATCGAAGAAACGCTATGGGTGCCGGGCCTAGACCGAAGGCTACTGTCAATATCGGCATTGTCAAAGAGGGGTCTACAAGTGATCTTCTCAGATCTGAGCTGTCAGATCAGAAGTAACACGGAAGTCGTTGCCCAAATACCAAGACGAAACAAGATGTACGTCTTAGAGTGCAGTCCGGCTGAGGTAGCCAACGTTTGCGGAGAGACATCTCAAGAGCAAGAATCAAGTGACGGATCAGGAGCGGCTGATCTACAAGTGTGGCATGCAAGATTAGGTCACCTGTCAACGAAGATGCTCAAGGGTATGGCAGGTTGCGTCAATGGATTAAAGATCAAGAAGAATCAAGGCGTTGAAGATGATATCGAGATCTGCGAAGGGTGCATCATGGGTAAAGCAAAGGCATGTCGTTCTCAAGATCACGCAGCCACTCTCGAAATAATTCACAGGTTATCCACGCCTTGAGTTTGCTGCAAGAGTTGAAGCCAAGTTGATCCCCTGTCTTCTTCTGGAAACAGCGCGGCTTTTTTCGTGTGACCAATGATGAGGGGCTCGTACTTGTCCGAGCCGTCAGCGCTGCACATTAGAAAGACTGTCACATGAGTCTTACTCTTCTTCGATCCTTCCAATTTTCATTGGGCGATAGTATTATCGAGCGCAATGCAGTAGAACAGTCCTGTTTCGTCCATGTTGTAGATGTCAGCAAGCAAGACTCCTTTCAGATGTATCCGGATGGCATCGCGCTGCTCGGGTATCTCCTCCGAGTTTACAGAGCCGCTTTTGTTGTGGCACTAAGTTGCGTCAAGCCATGGCGTGCCTGGAAAGATTGAAGCCCCAAATTCGAAATAAGAGCAGCTGGTCTTCTTCAATACCGCTTAATGTAGCAAATCGTCTTGCTCTCGGATTAATCAGATCCCCCGACATCATCTCGCGCTTGGCTTGACACTGCAGCAACCAATTCGCAAGGGCTGGATCGACTGCAGGAAATGCCAGTACTCGGATCCGCCTACTCTTGAGGTTCGAGGTCCATCACGTGCAGATACTTCTGACGATCACGCAGAATGCCGGAGATCGTCTCCTGGACTGGCGCATTGAAAAGACCGAATTCGCGCTTCGCCTTATCTGCCAGCTGCGACTGTGTACGCGTGGTGTTTGCGTCACGGCACTGGCAGATCTTCTTCTTCTGCTCATACTCCAGGTTACCAAACTGTTAGGTCGCGACGGCATCGTTGTTTAAAAGGGAATTAGCAAAGTGATAACTGATTTATTCATTTGTGCATTATTTTTTAGTGTAAGCGCTTGCTTTGCTGTCCACTCATTTTGTTCTGCTAATGGTTTAAGGAAGCAAAGTCTTTCCTATCTCTCTGATGGTGTCATCATTCCAAAAGTAGAGGACGTCAATGCTGTCAGGCAGAGCTGGTGAGCCCTATACACCAGAACCTGAAGGCTTAACTTAGTATTTTTGCTTGTACCGGTTCTCGAAATCGGTGACCTCTCGGATAATGCTGCCACACCAACCCGGGTGGGCTACAAGTGTACACGAAATGTGTCACACACAAGTCTAATTTAAGTTGTGTACATAATTGTTACACACACTCGCACAAACTAAAACCCAGGCTTATATGTCTACACTCTAATGCATATGCATAACGTATCACGTACAGTTTGTTGCGCAAACAGTTGATTGACGCGTCGCTTGACTCAGAATTGTACTAAGATTAGGTACTGAACACGGAATCCGGACTCTTTTACTGTTTTTGAGGGCTGCTAATGACTGGAGGGTGTTTGCACCTCCAATGTTGATGCAATTGCTATATACGATACACTTGCGGTCCACGGGTCATATCAAATATGGCAGGTTTATCTGCAAAAACATTTCTGATGTCACCACATCAGAAACCGCTATGTAATTACAATGCTCTTTACGATAGATGCTAACTAATTGTATTCTATAAGGCACGGTATTGCCTCTAGCGTGCTCGATACAATATTACGCCTATCAAAAACACTGATTTGCTGTGAGTATCTCGCGACAGCATACCAACTATACCAACGATTTTGTAATATTCTTGCACCCCCACCAAACTATCAATATACCGAATCTACATTCTTCACCTTTCTAATCGACATCTACTAATGAGAGAAATTTAGCCGTTGATCGATTTTCAAATTATTAACTAACTGATGGAGGAGTCTTCTCATTTATCTGAGTCTTTGAAGTACATGCTGAAAGACGAGAATATGATCAATAACAACGGCGAAAAGATCGTTCCAGAAGGTGATGACCTTAAACTGACACAACAGGTTCACGCAAAGCCTCTTGCGCAGCGTCTAAGCCTTTCCCAGATCCATGCATATCTCATGCGCTACAGCGCCCCTTTTGCTTAACGCCCTCGGTTCAAGGATCA